AATTTTCTTTGTTTAAAGGAGTTAGATTATATTTTGACAGGTGACGATTTTGAAAAATCCGCTCTGTATAGAGGAAATTCTGCCAGGGTCTACCTCTCTTTCAGCATTTACTTAGAGGTAGGTTTAGACTTAGTTAATTAAGACAATTTAAATAGGATCGTGATATGGAGGTTATTCTTCATGAACTTATAGATTAGCCTGAGGACTGACCTGTCATGTGTTACAAGTCTTCTTGATCAATTGATTCAAGATCTGGGGTAGATTCAGCTTGATCCTACAAGGATCACATTCTGTTATCTCTGATAACAGGTCGGTTGCCGATTCGTCGGTTTACGACTCAACCCCAATTCACCCTCAATACTCAACCTAAAAAGGCTTTAGCCCTGGTGATTTTATTGTTTTGTTAAGGTTTCACCCGAACTTTTTTTTAATGACCATTTAACAAAGGTACTGAGTATTTAATTATGGTTGGTTGGATAAGAGACTGGGGCTTGCATGACTAAAGCGAGGGGTATGAGTGTAAAGGTTGGTTGAAGTTGATTTCGTGTAATACGTTGACTCCTTGTTTGACTCTTTGATGTGATTGTAGGTATGTATGGTGGTTCGGATTTGGATTGATCTGCATGTGATCATACGTATATATATATATGGTTGTGAGGAGCCCCACTGTGATTGTGAGAAGTGATCGTCACATACTTATTCCCCTATACATATATATATATATATATAAATATATGTGTACTTATGTTGAGAGTTCGCGAGGCCTGAGGGGCCCGCGCATTAAGGATTAGATGGGGGTCAAGGTTGAGAAAATGAAGAAAACCCCCTTCTTTGAATGTATACTTTTTCATAATTTATTAGTCGGACGCTGGTCCTGGGCCGTGATTCAAGGTCCTTGTTCATGACATCTTAGACCCTAGACTCTGCAGGGAAGGAATCTGCCCCCGCGCAGAGCCTATTTGCCTTGCCTGCCGAGACGCTCAGGCCAAAAGACGGAGGTCTCCCGGCGGCCGCACGACTATTCCTTCAGCCGTGCAATGTCGTGAGGCCGTAGACCCCCACGATACTTCGAGTCTGACACTTGAGCGTTATAAGCGGTACTCGGATCCACGAGGGACCGCTTGATTATGGACACTACATAATACGTCATCATTGCGACTGCTTGCGCACGGTTGCATTGCAAGTCGATATGAGTAAGCTCTGCGTCCACGCGGTTTTATACTAAGTCTCGCGCGCAACGCCTATCTGATTTCCGCATCAGAAAGTTATGGGATGGCTACTAAGGGATTAGGAGTGTTGTCACGCTGTTTGTCCTATGTCTTTTCGTGTGTATGTACGTGTGCGTGTTTTATCTTTATGTTCTGTATAATGGTGTGCGCGTGGAGTGTGGGATGCGTCCTAGTCGACGGGCGACGAGTCACGCTTGGGACCTCAGCCCCGCAAGATGTCGGTTCGCGTACGGGTCCGATAAAGGCGTAGTACCATGCGTACCCCCTATGCTACAACGAACGAGAAACACCCTCGGCTGGTCCACCTCTGCGATTGCAGATAATCAACTTTTGTACTATGAACTGGTAGCTCGGCGGGGATACGCCCACCGAAGGGAGGTGACAACTCCCGTAAGGTGGAGGTAAGTCGTGCCTTAGGTAGGCTCTATCCTGTCGTAGAGGCTCGCTAGAGGTATGGCTGGCGCACTCGGCCGGAGCGGCTTGCGGAAGCTCCATGTATATTCGCGACGAGGATTTAGAAATTCCTGCGTGACGCGGCCGGGAGGGTCCCACGCTGCCCTGTGTGGTGCCGGACCGATGCGCTCGACAGCGCGCACACACACACACACACACACGAGAGAGAGAGAGAGAGAGAGAGAGAGAGAGAGAGAGAGAGAGAGAGAGAGAGAGAGAGAGAGAGAGAGAGAGA